CCGAGTATAAGAACAGAAAGACTATAAAGAATCATTAATCAAACTGAATCAATGAGACCGTTAAAGGAACTCATTTTGCTACTTATCCATTTATCACTATTAGAGCCTGGGACCATCTGTTGCGATGATCTGCCACTATCTGCCAACAGTTTATCTTTTCACACAACGGAATCTTCTTTTTAAACAGCCTTTAGAGACTTCGTCACCCATCGTCGCGAACCTTCGTTCGTTCAGCAAGCTATCAAGGGTGACCGGTTTTTGTTTTTTGTTTAAACAAAAGATGTGAGAAAAGAGAAAGAGCTGCACGAGTTATATCTCGCTGCGCTACAATGTAATTACGATGCGTAAAGTACGCAAGCGAGATATTGAGCAATTAGCGAGAGGCCAAAATAAGACGTTACAGGCTTTTTAAAAATGTAGATATGCAATAATATATCTCTCCCATTCTATGAAAATTATAGCCCGCTGCGCACTCGTGCAGTAACGAGCGTGTTGTTAAAAAGGCGAGGAAATACTTTATCTACGCGCGATACGCGCGCAATATGCAATTTTTTTTTTTTTTCACGAGCGCATATACGACATGCAACTTTCCGTTGGATGATTCGACGGATAACAGATATTATGCTTCTTTTTTAACGTGACTTTGACACAGGCGGGTAATAACTTAATTATCAGATACTATATACGCCATAAGCAACTAAATTATAAAACTAAAATTAAAACGTACAGAAGAGAATATAATTCGACGAGGAAATTTAACGTATTTTTAGCCTCTTAAATATGTTTAAGAAAATAATGGAATAATTTACGTGACTATTAAATGTTTTTTCTCTTACGTCAGTCTCCTCTACAGGACATAGATCGATTATTACTTTTCCTTAAAATGTTTCCTGTCAATGTTGTTGACACGTTTTAAAACCGATCGTAAATCATGAAACGACCGATGCATTTAATGGGGCTGAAAACGCTTCACCGCATGAATCGTTTTGAATCTAATAATCCTTGAACCCTCGATTGTGTCTATGTTACACGAAGGAACGCGAACAACAGTTTTGTCACGGTGGTTTTCAAAATAGATCACAAAGTATCCCCGTATCCGCAAATACTTTTCTTCAAGAACCACCTTCCATTCGCAATTCGCCGGCCGAATCCGCAAAGACTTCCGACGGCTTTCGACATTCATTGTAACTGAAGCGAAGCGAATCCCGCGATCGGGTTTTACGACTCGAGAATCGGCAGGGTGCCGATTCCGAAGCGAAAGCAGAAGAAGGAGCCAGTCTTGCAGGCCGTTCCACTTGCTTTCGTGACCCGAACTCGCGTAGACAGCCCGAGGCGGATGACTCTTAGAGCTCCGGGTAGGGTCGGTTGCAAGGGGTTACACGGAGAGTTACGCAAAACAAATGCAGAAAAGTACCTGCTCCGGTCCAGTTCTAAAGCTCGAATAGCAACGGTGTGAACGGTTGACCAGAAACCACTAACAGGTTGCTCGTCTCCGTGTATTTCACGCTGACTCTTCCACGTACATACATTTCAAAGGGTGAAACTAAGCAAATTTGCACGCTCTGATTTACCGCTTTGAGAAAAAATTTATTTAAATTTCAAACACGCAAAGAGAGAAAAAGAGATTCAAGGTCTAGGCTGCTTGTAAGTTCCACGTTGCGTCAAATAGGATTCGTGAATTATTAAAACTATTTTATAGTTTCTTTTCATTGAATTTTATTAATTTCAAACACTTGAAATTACATTAAACAATGTACATTACATTAATTAAGATACTTTTGCTGCATACCAAAGAATCGTGTTGTTGTTTTAAATATTAATTCTAACACAATTAACAGCACAATTTTCAAGATTACTTTTTGCCTTCGACATTTAATCTTTTATATTGCTATCTTCTTCCTATGCGCGATCTGTCCGTAAGTTTTATTTATGTTACTTCAGTCCGGCCTCTTTTAATATCTGCACTGTTCACTTCGATTTCCTAGTCCGCCTTCCCTTGCTCCTGCTCGAATTAATCTTATTTCTACTCTTCTCTTCTCCCGTCCGTGTTTCGCCTACGTTACCTTGTTCTCTGTTAGTTTCGGTTCACTAGAATAGACGGATTTGTCTACAATTTGATTTAGTGCTAGTCAACCCCGAAGAACTCGCTCTATTGTATTCCGAAACATACACTCTGAATACGTAAATTGTGAAAATTCAAGGTTAACACAAGAGTTCCACACCTCACGAATTCACAGACAGGGCGCGCGTTACCTGGGCTTCAGTCGTAAGTAAAATTCCGTAGAGCACGCACGGTCTGTTTCGACGATCCACACACACGCGTTTGTCTGATAACTTATTCTTACAAAAAGTGATATAAGATGCAAGATGTCATATAACGTCTATAAACTTTCGATCGACAACAACAGGAACGGTGCAAGAAGAGACTGCTTTTCCGTTCTCTAGATGTCTACGACATCTCAAGATAACACATTCACGACATTGAAATTCTTCAGGTATTAATTATGTGATTAATCAAGAGAAGAGTAATAGTTTTCGAAGCACGTATCTTAATACGAAATACGTCAAAGTACACCGAAAACGGTAGAACAGCGTCGGCAGTTAATTTTCATTCGAAGTATCAACGATTAGAGTTTCGGGCGTTAGGTATCGATGCGGTACCGATAATGGCGCGTGATATCTATGGAGTAGCTATACGCGTGATGTACGGGAAGTAATATTTTGGGAGGCACGTGTGTAATATATCTTCCAGCGGCGTTGGTTCATGATGCTGATATCGGTATCACGGTTATCGAAAATATTTTGAAATCCATGATGCATCTACAGATCGAACTTTCACTTCGCTTTTATTAAAATTTGACAAATTCACGAAAAGCCGAAAAGAAAAACAGATTTATATGTAAGCGCTGAATAAAAATCATATCTAGAAAAGCTTTTTTTTTTCAATTATAAAAAATTACGCAAATAAATTTTTTTTTAATTTTTGAAAATTATAATCTCTGTTTAAATACTTGTAATTTCATAGAAAAATAGATGCTCTTATCGATAATAATTAAACTCCCAATTTAAATTCGTCGAACTGAGCAAATTATTCATTTCAATTTAAAGTGACACATGTTTTTTAATTTTTTTTCTAGTTTTAAAAGTGCTCTAAGAAAAGGGGTACCGAAAAGTGTGCAATCACGAGATCCCTTCAGCCACGAGAGTGCGTAAAAGATCGGAAAGAAAAATATTATTTCGTGCGCCGAAATACTCATCAAAAGAAAAGCAATTACGAGAAAATGTTTTGACATTCTCGGTAAATTACTTATTTACTCGTGCCATTCTTTTGCTCGTAACAGTATCCTTCTGTCGGTCCTTCTTGTGCGCGCTTGTTTTTTTGGTTTTTGCTTTGCTCGCGAAGAAAAAAGCGAAGTTATCACAAGAATACTCACTGTTACTCTACCCTCGGGCATAATATGCGCGACGATGCGATAGCGGCGATAGTCATACTTATAATTAGAGGAGTCAGCAAAATGATTTATGACGCACACGTGGTACGCACTGCTTTCGTAAATACTCTTTCTTTATTCGTTTTCGCTCAGGCATATACATTTGTTGAGGGGCTCGGTCTTGATTAATATTGTGAAACACTGTATTCGGAACGGCTATTCTCGTCAAGGTGATCACAAAATTATTAGCGACGCGACATTGTACTTTGTAAAGTGAAACGAATGATCAGAATTACATACTATCATTGCTGTGCAGATGCACTTTCACTTGAAATGATCGCGACGATGAAACATATTTTTCTACATTTTATCGTTTGAAATTCCGGATCTGTTCAATTTTACGAAAGTTTCAAATCGCTATCAAAACTTTTTGTGTTCTCTTTAATATATTTGTTAATACTTTTAACAATTTGCATAAAAGTTGAATATTTAAGTCGAGTATCGATAGTTTTATATAGTTTTTGAAGTAACTATTAAGAAAAAACCAACTGCTCTGTCAAAAAATAAAGACTAAAGAATATTTTTTATTGTTATATTAATAAATTACTTGTTTGTGAGATATAAAAACATCTTATGTTTGAGAGAATTTTTCTTTATTTATTAAAAATTAAAATATTGAAAGAAAAAAAAACAGAAACGTTAAATCAGTAAATGAAACTGCTTTTAAAGCACAAAAAATTTTATATAATCTTAAAAACAACTTATCAGACAACAAATATACATTTCGGTAGTTCGTTATTAACATATCTCGCGTGATATTTCGAGCTTAAGAAATATCATAGTTATTTTTTCAGTAATAACACGCTTGCTATCCGCACCTGACAATATAAAAGAACCCCCAATACATTCGATTAGATGAGATTGGATTGGAGTAGCGGCGCGTTCCAACATGGCGCACCGTCGGCCGTCGGAACATGGCGACGGCGGGCCTCGTGAGCGACGCGCAGCAGCGCACACGTTCATATCGCTTCAGCGCATTCGGTGGATTGGTTTCGAAAAATCGTTCTATATATCGACGATTCGTTAGAGAATCATTTAATTGTTGGCGACAACAACTAGCCGTCGAACTACGTTTCTATTAATACCGGTTCGTTTTCCCAAGTGAGAACTGCACCCGTCAGCATCACCAAGCGCGTACACCCGTACATATATACAATATATATACATATATATGCAAATACATATTTTTCAGTATACACAAACATCGTCTGACGGCCGGCAACAACTCCGCATCGAACTACGCTTCTATTAATACCGACCAGTTCTGTCGGACCGTGTACAGACTTATGTGCGCGTGCAAATATACATATATACACGCGCACACAGAAATGAAAAAGCGTATACGTGTGACGCGAAATCGCGCCAGTGTTACATACGTGTCTTCGACGCGTTTTCGATGACTGGCGGTACTGTGCGCGCGCGCCGGTTCTGATTTAACTATCCCAAAATGAATCGTCGCGCCGACACCGCGTCGCACGGACGAACGAATTTTCGTTATTTTTCGTCGGTCGTTTCTCTGTTCCGCTGGGACATGTTGCCAACTATGAGAGATTGCCATACGGAATCCGCAGATAGCGACATTGTCGAGAGAGACACTGCGGTCTCTTGCTGATTGCGCAATTGGAGTTGCTTCAAGTCCCCCAAGTGTCTCCGATAATTGTAGCGAAGAGTTCTCGGCGAGGATCTCATTGTTACGCAAGTTATTTTTACGTATAGGTACGTGTATCTATTATTTGTTTGAATAAGATGGCAACAAAATTGATTTTTTTTTTCCGTTGTATCTCAATGTCTATAATAAACATTCGAAATAAATATATTGCGAAATTAAATATACTACAGTATATAAAAAGCAAATCGATTTGTGTAGATACGATTTATAGTTGCATACAGAATTTGTGTACAAGCGCGCGTGAGAGTTTTTTCATAAAATGATATTGTTGCCAACTTAATTCAAAACATCTGAATTTCATTTCTTTATGCGCGAAGATAACAATCGCATTTATTATCAGTACAAAACGGGAATTAAAGAGCAACATTTAGAATTAAACGCGGTGCAAAAAGAAGGACTTTTTGTTCGAATATCCGTTTGTAATGCGGGCCGTCGGACACAACGCGAAGAGGATGCTCTGCAGCAATTATAAATGCATTTACATTTGTAGTTGGTTCAAAGTCATTCACGTTTTTTTCCCATAACGTTATTCGGCGAGAGACAAACTGTTGACTTACAGCAATTACACAAAAAGCCAAATAGCCGTGGAAAAAGGTAATTTGCGCGCGCGCGCGCGGGCGCGGTGTATCTGTATTTGCATAATGTACGTAAAAAAGTACCATAATGTTGCATGCAACTATAATTCTTTCGTGAAAATCGTTACTCAACGCCTGAGATAAAATCGAGTTATCTACAATCAATCAAATATTTCATATTTTTTGTTAGACGTGCTAATTACCGCCGCAGCTAAAATATCCTGTTTATCACGCGTTTATGATGGTGTGTGGCAAGTAAAGTCTTATCATTAAGAGAATGACTTGTTTTTATTCAATTTGAATCTCCAACGTTGCGGACGAGTGTGTGCATTGGGAGAGGACTCATCGTCTTTAGAAAGATTTATAAAAGATTTATATACACGCGCGCGCGCGCGCGCAAAACCGCGAGCTTATATAACGCGTACGTAGATAGATACGTCAAAAAAACACGCACACGGGAGAAAAATTCTTTTCATCCTTTCTCGAACGTCATACCTTATCGACATTTTTTTTGACGTAGGATTTTGTCGCGTATTTTCCGTCGCGCCAAGGGAACGCAGGAAGAGAGAGAGAGAAAGCGAAAAAGAAAGAGACGCAGAGGAGGGTGGAAAGGGATGGGGTGGAAAGAGAAAGAGAAAGAGTGAGAGAGCAGGAACATTCGCATCTTGCTGCCTTTATAAATGCTTCTACATTTATTAAGGCTACTCCCCGGACCCTGGACGCACCGGTATACGTATTTCGAAATGAATGCCTCGTGACGTGGCACCGCGACGCTGTCGTCGGGGCGCGTGAACGCTACGAAAAGTGAAATATTCCTCTGTCGTATTTTCACATGCGCGCACACGACAAATGACCGCCGTGCGTCTGACGGCCGCGGGCCTTGGTAAAAAAAAAAAAAATCCGTAGGTATATACATATGTAAATAGATATATGTATGTAATATCGCGAAAAGTGTGTGTTCGTCTTTCGTCGATTAAACACACGGCGACTTCAAAAGTTGAAAATTTGTCACGTCGAAATGCGTAGGATAGATCGACCGTCGCTCACACGATCGGGAATTAATTTTTACACGTCTGAACATTTATACACACACACACACACACACACGTTTAAATATTATCACGCGTATTATATGTGCAGAAAACACGGAAAGAATTTTCTTGTAATTGGACTGCATTTTTGCATGTAACGCGCAACGTACGTGTGCACACGTTGGTTGTATTTTCGCAGAAATTGATTTATATCGAGTTAAATGTCCTTATAAAGGAAGAAGCAATATATAACAATAACAAGCGCGCGGTACAAAGTAGTCTGAATTAATTAACGAGATTTCGCATCGCGATCACTTTGGTGGTGGTGTGCGCGCACACCACGCCTTATGTAGGTACGTATATAATATAATATTATAATGTGCAATGTGGAGCACGCTGTGATTTTATATAGTCAGTTAAACAACTTCTGACAAGGAAGTGATTTGTCGCGCCGGATACTTTATTCCAGATAATCATACGCCGTGTTAGACGTGGGCCGTTCGGCGTGACAACGTATATACATTGATTAATAGCACCGTCTTCATGCCCAAATAAGGAAGATCTTAACGTCCGTTAAACTAGGCGCGTAAATCTTGTCTTTTATTTATTTTTATATTCGGTGCGCCGTGAGAACGCTACATGTAAATCTTCCGTCTTATCCAGCTTTAGTTTGGATATGTGTTTTAAATTGATTTGATTATTTTCGAGAAATTTTCTGTTAACGTTGTTTATTGCAAACTCGGAATTACATTCCGCAAACGAAATCAAATACGCGCTTTAAACCCGCGTGGTTTTACGCGAAAATAAAATTGTTCCCGCCAGAGAGATCTCGCGGAAGAGATTAGGTACGTGTGTGCCTTAATATCAAGTAGCCCCGAATGTAAACTGGTCTCCCCGAAATAGAGACATTTAGTTGGTGGATTCGTATATATATATATATATATATGTATACCCGCGCGTAATCGGCTAATCGTCAATAGCCAGAAGCGTCGAACTTGGCGCAATCACCCCGATAAAATCAGAGCGGGACGAAGAAGGTGCGCGATATAAAGTATAGTCAGAAGTATACGCCTGAGGTATACGATCTACTACTTAATATCGTCTACACGCTTCGTGTGTTCGATCTGAGCTTACGTACTAACAGCCACTTGGAACCTTAGACGACGGCCATTCCGGACGAAAATTAATCATCGAAATCAGCCGAACGTCGCGATTAAGAGACGATCACCTAGGCAAATCGTTAAACGTTGCTTTTTCGGGTGGTGGATGTTGGTTCCTACCTGTTGTCGGGGCAGCCAATCGACGGAAGGCTCGAAAAAAAATTTCCCACCTGGTAATTTCTACATGGCGGCCAAACTCGGGGGAAGGGAGAAAATTGCAAGACGTTGTAAGAGGAACGGTCGGCGAAATTTTCTTATCCGAGACCAATCCATTTTGCAAAATTGCAGCCTGCGTAATAATCTACACTTTGTAGCTCGCAGACCTGATCTACCGCGCGTGTCTCGTAACACAAGCACGAGGTCTATTGATTGACTCGAAAATCGCTAGATATTTTAGACGTGTTGATAATATTCCGTCATTCTACAGACGAATACATTATATGCGGATCGATGATCGATTATTCCAAATAAAGTTTTTTTTATTTATAAACGTACAGATATTTTATATAATATCTCAATATTTTATATAAATCTCTCACGCTGACGTGAAATATTTTCAGGTACTGTAACTACAATTAGACATTTTCAGGATTATGTGTAATAATAATATTATAAGTACGAGGCAAAATAATATTTTAGCATCGTGTGATACCACGTTATTCTTTTAAAGTAAACGAGTGGATGAAGTCTCGTGAGCTTCGGGCAGTTGTTTCTTGTAGAAATGAAAGAAAATAACAGGCGGAGAATACAGCATCCCGCATGACCGGTCTGTACCAGCGATCCGGCAGTTAACCGGCTTTATACGATGCACCGTAATCAGTTTGCCGAAGTGAGATCCAATGAAACGCGGACTTTACTTCGCAGAAACTTAAACGGTATATAAAAAATGTTATTAAACAGTATGTAACAAATGTGTGCTGCACAGAATTAACTTTATATATTTTTTATTACATTTTTGTGTCTCTGAGTAGACTTTTTATAGTGCAAAGTATGCATGATATGTAATAAAAGAAACATAACATAAATAACATTTTTTATTAAGTGAAATAAATATGAAAAGATTTTAAATTACATAAAAGATTCCTTCGAGAATTTAGTACATAGTTTTTTACATATTTTCTACCGAAAGAGAAAAAGAAATACGTGCGTTATAACGTGCCGCGCATTATTTCCTAGACTTGCTTCGATTTTCGGGATGGTTTGATCGATCATTCGGCTTCTAGATTGGTGTGACTATCGGCGGAAGAGATAAATCATCATGGGACGAATAAATCACCGAGTTAATGTCACCAACTAGAAAGCGAAGATACGGCGTAGGGCGTAAAACCGATATCGCTGTTCTAGAAAAAGCGTCGCCGAGACACTTTGCTGAATGTTACAAAAATAAATGTCACAAAAATGTATCATGAGAGAATTAATTCGTTGCCAAGATGCGCAGATCCCAAAACAAGCGCGCGCTTTAATAAAAATGCCGCGCGAAGTCTGGAAAACGTTTTTCTTCCCTCTCGCTTGTCCGAAGTTGGGAAAAAAGAAATAACAGTTTCACCGATCGGGAATATGGTACATGTCAGTGACGGTCATCTTCAGCTCAGCGCCCGGTCCGATTTCGGTATTGGTTTCGAGACGATACGCCAAGGAAAGAGATGGATCATTCGTAGCGGCAACGATGAATCATGAGATGGCTAAGACAGACTAGAGAATCGACGTTATACCAAATATAAAAAGAGAAAAATGTGAGGGCGAACATTGCCGAGATAGGAAAGACGGATAAAAAAGGAACGGAAAAAAGAAAGATATATTACCGATCTTTGTGTAAAAAGAAGAGGTATTGCGATAAAGATAAATTAACTGCTTAATTATCAACTACTAACGCAAGCGAACTACAGTGCTCATAAGCAAGTTTACGAACTGATATTTTTAATCGATAAATTGTACAAACTAAAAGACGTTAAATGTCTCAACTTAATACTTTTAATGGGAGAAAATATTCCGCCCCCCCCCAAAAAAAAAAGACAAACATTATACAAAGTAACGTAGAAAATCTAACGCAAAATGTAACAGTTAAAAAATGCAATATTATTTTGTACAATACAATAAATAAGAAAATAATTTGACATTAAACAAAAATTAATGTTATACGAGAAGTGAAAGAGCACGATAAAATAGAACGAAGATACGATGATGAATAGCGAGGGATGAAACAGGAAAAAGCAGAGGACGAAGATACGGGAACGGAGACTGGAATCCTCCGGAAGTACGTCCGACGTACCGCCCGCGTTCT